ATGAAGAGTCTACTTTGGTAAATTCTTCTATTACAATACTTAAAAAAAAAAAAAAAAGTTTCCAGAGATGAAACTCATTTTGGGAACTTCAAAATAAGCGTGGTACAACTTGAGGCAAAATGGCTGTAACATTCAGTGTTCAGTGCAACATTTCTACAGAATACAATAGATCCAGGGCAGGCCCCTGCACTCCTGGGAGTGCAGACCTATGGTTGATAAAAGAACCCACAGCACCATTAGCAAGTGAAAGTGGAATTAAACTAATGAGTCGTTAAATATGTAAGTGAATCAATGACTCACAAAGGAGAAATCCTAAGAAACCGATACAGGATTACTTTGTGTGGTTTTACATAGAAGAATTTCTATGGGATAATAATATTTACTTTAATAGTAGAGGGAGAAAAGTGGGCTCTTAGCAACTAAGGATGGTTAAAATTTTCAGTTCGCCAATACAGACATTAGCTACAGCCAGACAGTGAGGGCAGAGAGCCTGTCTTATCCGTCTCTGTATCAGCATCTGTCTTAGACAAGACATGAAATGCAGAGATGTTAAATAAGAAATATGTAGGATGGTAAAAACAGATGAAGGGAAAATACGAAATAAAATTAGATGAGGGAATAAGGACAAAATAACACGGTGGGGGTTCCTGATGACCACATAGTGATAATGAAAGTAGTCAACATGAGTCCAGGGAAACGAGTACCCACAAAGGAGTCATAATACAAACAAGGTGTCTTGAGGGGCAGGAGAGGTGACTCAATGGTTATGACACTGGCTGCTCTTGCAAAGGACCTGGGTTTAGTTCCCAGCACCCACATGGCAGCTAACAACCATCTGTAACTCTAGTTCCAGGGGATCTGTCACCCTTTTCTGGCCTCTGCAGGTAGGCACTGCATGCACATAGTACAAACACATACATGCAGGCAAACACTCATACACATTTTAAAAAAGTAAAAAGAAGAAGGGCACCTCAACAGCAGGATCAGAACTGTGCTAAGTGTGAAAGTGAGGAGGAGCATCAGGATTCCTTCTACCTTTCCTAAACAAAGTCCTAAGGTGTGTTTTCTGTCCGGGAGTGGTGGCGCACACCTTTAGTCCCAGCACCCGGGAGGCAGAGGCAGGTAGATCTTTGTGAGGCCAGCCTGGTCTACATAGTGAGTTTCAGGCCAGTTGGGGCTACAGGGAGACCCTGCCTCAAAAAGACCAAAAAAAAAAAGAAATGCTTTCTAAGCCAATTTTGAAGTTGAAATTTCAACTTCAGTTTTTCTACCTAGGATTACGTTGAACGATGCTGTTAAATATGAAAGTGCAGATTTCACTGAGGTGTAAATAAATACATTCACTAGGTTTGTAAAGTCAAATAACGCTAAATTTATAATAAATGAAAAGCAATAAGCCCTGGTCCATTTGTCTTCTTCATGCCCCTGTGGATGGAATCACTCTAAACCCTCTGGTCTACCATCAAAGAGTAAGGATTCTGGCTCTCTTCCGCCTGTTTTCTCCTTCCCCCATTTCCCAACACAGTAAATTCACACTCGTTAGTCACGAGTCTACACTCTTATTACTTCTGGGCTGGGCGCCATCATATTGCCCTTCTTCGATGATTAAAAAATATTTCTTATTTTTATTTTATGTGTATGAGTGTTTCGCCTGCATGTATGTAAATGCACCACGTGTGTGCAATGCCCACAGAGGCCAGAAGAGAGTGTCAGATCTCCTGGAAATAGAGTTATAGATGGCTGTTGGCTACCATGTGGGTGCCGGGAATTGAATCCGGGTCCTCTGGAAGAACAGCAAGTATTCTTCACCACTGAGCCATCTCTGCAGTCCCAAACTTTGATTTATTCTGTATAGGAATGTTTTGCCTGTGTGGCTATAAGTGCACTCATGTCATGCAATGCCTGCAGAGGGTGGAAGACGGCATCAGATCCCCTGGAACTGGAGCTAGCCTCCACGGAAGCACTGAGAACCAAACCTGGGTCCTCTGCGAGATGTGCCAGCTTTCCAGTCCTAATTTTTGTTTTCTATCCCAAGCTAATAGCTGCCTCTATTTTTCATTTGCGTAGTTGTCCTACCCTTTGCAGCGTTTCCAACACTCTTTTCATGGTGTTTAAGGCTGACGTGGTTGCACAAGTACCAGCTGTCTGAACCCAGTGAGTCCTGATTGGTCACAACATATACATGACGAAGTTAAGTACCATCCCTGCACAGTTGTGAGCTTTTCCTGTCCTGTCCCACCCCGTCCTGTCCTGTCCCTCAGCTCTGTGCTTCTCCCACAGACACCCGTCCTGGCTCCTTTGATCCACTGCATCCCCATTCGGCTGCTTGCACTTAGACTTGCTGCACAGAGTTCTGGGGAATTCTGACATCTCCCCTTGGTTCTAGATAATCTGCTTTCTAGATCTCCTGGGTTTCCTTTTTTGTGGGCTGTTTTCTAGCTTTGACAGAACATATCTGCCCTGACAAACGAGACACAGTGGGTAAATTCTGTGCCTTTGCATGTGTAGAATTGGACCACTTGAATGTGTTGGGCTTTTTGTCTTTGGAATCTTTAAATATTCTGTCCTTATTGCTGGTGTTTGGGGGTACGGACGGCTCTGCTTAGAGCTGGCTGCTCTTTTCCCTCGGAGTGCTGGGCAGTGTGTGGGCCCATCAGTTTGGGAATGTGTGCGCTTTGGTTCTGCAACACATCACATGACTGCTTTTATTATTTTTAAAGAAGATTTATTTTAGGTAGGGTTGGGGCTTCTTATCCATTTCCCCAGGTCTAGCTGGGATTTTTGTCTGGTTTGAGCTTGCCTAGGACTTGTGCATGCTGTTACCATTGAGTAACTGACCAGCTGTCTGGAAAACTCTATTTTCTTATGGTCATCCACCATCTGTGCCTCTTACAATCTTTCTACCTCCTCTTCCTCAATGATCCCCGAGCCTTGAAAGGCAGAATTTTGAAATAGGTGTTCTATTCTGGGATATGCACTATGCAGCCTCTTGTTCTCTGTATATTGGCCAGTTGTGGATTTCTGTGTTAATCACCATCTGCTGCTAAGGAAGCTTCTCTGGTGAGGGCTGTGAGTTGCATTAATCTATGGGTGTAACAATAAGTCATTAGGAGTCAGTTTAATACTATGACCTGTGACTGCTGGGAGGGGAGAGTCTGTCTCTTTCAAGGATGTGGCTCTGAGGTTAACCAGGCTCCAGTGGATGGACCCACACTGAAGGACATGCAGGGACACAAACTAGTCTCTATAAGCCTTATTATATATAATAAAGTTCATTAAATTGGGCAGGGGCAGTAGAAGTGTGGATGGGGGGATCTAAATACTATCAAATTACATTGTATGAAAATCACAAAAATTCAATAAAAAGGATTTTTAAAAGATTTGTTTTTATTATGTGTATGTGTGTCTATCTGTGGGTATGTGCAAGTGAGTGGTTGGGCGTGACTAGACACGGGTGCTGAGAACTGAACTCAGGTCCTCTGGGAGAGCAGCAAGTGCCCTTGACCACAGAACCACCTCTGCAGCCCTTCTTTTGATAACAGAAGGTTGGCTTTCCTGATGGTTTTATTTTGGTATGTAACTGCAACATATTTTTATTAAACATAAAACAAAAAAACACACACTTCTAAAATGGAATAGTCCTCTAAGCTGAAAGCTTTGCTGTTAGTGTTTATTCGTTTATCTTTTCTTTCGGTTTTGTTAGACAGGATCTCCCTGTAGCCCCAGCTGGACTGGAGCTTGCTATGTGCACCAGTCTGGCCTCAGTCTCACAGCCTGCCTCTTTGGTGTGTGTGCCAAAGAGCTCTGTAAAGTGAAAGGGCCCCATTAACGTTCCTTCACCACTGCAATTGTATAAAATCACCAAGCGAATGGAGTAGTTCTTTCCATAGCATTGTTTAGTTTAAAAGAGGCTGACTGGGACTGGAGAGACGGCTCAGTGGTTAAGAGCACTTGCTGCTCTTGCGGAGGGCCCAAGTTCAGTTCTCAGCATCCATGTTAGGAGGTTTACAACTGCCTGTGACTCTGGCTCCATCAGATCCAATACCCTTTTCTGACCTCTGCGGACACTCATAAACATGAGAGCACATGCACACACGCACATACACACACATTTAAAAATGGCCTGACTTGAAAGCAGAATGCACTTATCAGCAACTATACCCCATCTTAGCTCTGTATTAGTAAACCTGCTGCACACATCAGGTTCCAGACTTCTGCTGTAAGCAAAGAAGCAGAGTGCTATCACACACGCTCAGAGCGACACCACACCAACTCTTACTTCAGACACAAAGCAACAAGGCACAAGCCCAGCAAACTGCTTACGGCAACTTCGAAGGTCACAGTCATCACTTTCTGGACGTGAAGTCTGTTTTCTTTCCGTACACCACACACTAAGATCAATCACGCTATGCTATTTAAAACAAAACATTTCAATTACGACATGCAAAGAAGCTGAAAAGCCATAATGCCAATTTCCACAGACGGCGTTCAATCAATAACTTGTCTTGGAAGCACAGCAATGACATTAGTAATTCACTAAATAAAACTCCAAGTTTTAAGAACATAATTTTTACATGCTTATTTGAATAATTAGTTACCTCAAATTGGTTGAAGCAGAGGTACAGAGGTAAGCCAGAAATCCTAGCAAGATAGTGCCGAGAGAGAGAGAGAGAGAGAGAGAGAGAGAGAGAGAGAGAGAGAGAAACAACACACCAGAGCACCAGAGACAGAGAGAAGAACAGTTATCTTTATTTAAGGTGATTTATTCAAACCATCTCCAGGTTAAAAAGTGGGAAAACAAGGACAGAAATACATTGTCAAGTATGTAGACAACAAAATGTTAAAATAGCCTTAAAATTACCTACTTGTTTATTCTAGCATTAGAATAAATACAAAGCAAAATTCTGTCACAGTTCTGCGACAGTCTGAAATAAAAACAGCGACCTTTCTTCATCCGCTGCTGCTATGACCGCAAGTAAAACAGACAAACACACACTGACCTTCACCGCTGCTGTGACGGCAGCAGTTGCTGCCAAATTCAAGCCCTGCCGTCCGAAGTTCACCATAGTCTCATAGCCACGTTCCTTTGCTTGTACAATATAATCGTCGATTTCCTAGAGGGAAAATGAACAGTAAAATCGGGTATGATAGGACATCACTGTAGATCCCAGCACTCAGGAGGCAGAGACAGGAGGAACAGAAGTTCAAGGGCATCAAAACCAGCCTGGGCTACATGAGTTCATATGTAAAAAATAAAATAAAAACGGCAGACTTGGTGGTGCACACTTTCAATTCCAGCACTCGGAAGGCAGAGGCAGGCAGATCTCTGAGTTCTGGGCCAGCGTGGTCTACAGAGTGAGTTCTAGGTCAGTCGGGGCTACACAGTGAGCTCCAGCCTCAAAATAATAAATAAAATTTTAAAATGACAAATAACAACACAACCACAGATGTTAGTTTTATTCAGAAACAGTGTTACAAAGTCCCAAACTAGGCTTTCCTCCTTGTGACACAGTGAGGCCACTAATGTCACACACAAAGCCCGTACTGATACACACTTCTGAAAGAGTGTGTGGCAATACTGATATACCTTACCCTTTCCTTTGAGGAGAGAAGAGGATGCAGGAACTTCCTGTATATTAGACTTGCTCCTCTGGTGTAGGGGGACAGTAACCATATGACAAAGGCAACCTTCAGCTCATAATACAGGGGGAACCTGACGAGAAAAAACCAGAAAGAAATCTGGGTAAGGAGCAAATCCATAAAACCCTTAAAGTTTAGTACTGTGTTCTGTTTTCACACCTGAAAGTTAGTGATGAGGGAACAATCATGATAGAATTTATCGGTAAGTTCATCTCACTGAACCACACACTGCGCTGAACCTGGCAGATAACCTAGGACAAGAGTCTTCTCTTGAAGTTGGGTGTGGTGGCATATGTCTTTTTGTAAAAATATTTTATTATTTTTATTTTATGTATATGCGTGTATTGCCTGCATGTAGGAAGTGCACCCGTGTTGTGCAATGCTCGCGGAGGACAGAAGAGACTGTCGGATCCTGGAACTGGAGTTATGGACAGTTGTTAGCTGCCATGTGGGTGCTAGGATTCAAACCCAGGTCTTCTGTAAGAACAGTCAGTGTTCTCAACCACTGCGCTATCTCTCCAGCCCCTGGTGGCATAAGTCTAATTCCAGTACTTAGGAGGCAGAGGCAGGTGGATGTCTATGAGTTTGAGGACAGCCTGGTGTACATAGTGAGTTCCAGGCCAGCTGGGGCCACAGGGAGACCTTGTCTCAGTAAGACAAAAGCGTCTTCTGTTGAAGCAAGCACAAGGGCTGAATGGACGGCTACTAAGAGAGGACAGTAATGCCACCAAGCCGTGGCAGTAAGGAACCCCATGTGTACAGTCAACCCATGTGACACCCATGGACACCAGGCACTGCATCACCCCACGGGCATAGCTCCTAGTCTTCCTCAGAACTCCAGGAAAACTCCCTCCAGTCTCACTTGGACAGAATTGCAAATTCCAGCTGCAGATGAGGGTGGAAGGAATTACCATTCAGAGGTGGATTCGTTCAGGACCCAGGCTGCCCTGTGGCACCTTCCCTATTGATGGAGCTACTTCTCCAACCCAGGTTGGGGTTTAGCCACGTGACATGACCAGTCAACAGACTTGAGCATGACACAGGTGACAGGTCAGTGGAAGCTTTAATTGCCCTCAAAGCTCCTATTACAATTCCCTAAAGCTCCTGCTTTAAGCTTCTGCCATGGAAATGCTTGCTTCTTTAGTCTTGGCTCTGAAAGGACATTTACACTGAGCCCAGCAAGGCTGCAGCCAACCCCTGCCCTGAGGCCACTTGAGCAAGACACCAAGGTTGGCTGTCCTAATGCACTGTGCTTTGGAGGGCTGCCTGCTGCCACACTAGAAGTTAACTTAAACAGTGTGAGAACCAGTATCCTGTGGTTTATGAGGCACTACATAAGCCTGAGCAAGTTGGGTTCTCATGGGTGAGCCAAGGGGGGAGTACTATAGTCAGCCAAATGTCTTTGTACAGCAGAGTGTGCGGATTTCCAGCATTAGATAAATTTATTATTATTACTATTATTATTATTATGTGTGTGTGTGCGCGCACGCCGCACACCATGGCATGTGTGTGAAAGTCAAAGAAGAGCTTTCAGGGGTTGGTTCTTTCCTTCCACCATGGGACCTGGGGGTTGAACTTAGGCTATCAGGCCTCTGCAACTAGCACCTTTATCCAGTGAACTGTCTCTCCAGCCTCACTTTCAATTACTTAACATTCAACACATCTACAATTTTCAATAATGTGTATTTGAAATAAGACAAAAACGAAACAACAGCAACAAAAACCAAATGAGAAGTCTTTGAAAAAAGGAATTCTGGGATGGGGATGTAGCTCAGTTGGTAGAGGGCTAGCCTACTAATGCATGAAGGGTTTGATCCATAATTAACACATAAAAAATTGGGCATGGTGGTCCATGTCTGTAATCCTAGCACTCAGGAGTAGAGGCAGGAGGATCAGGAGTTCAAGGCCATCCTTGACTACATGAGACATTGCCTTATAATAAATAAATAAAGGAAGGAAGGAACTTAAGACACTTAGCATGATTTGGAACCTTTGTTTCGCCGCTTAAAAACAAGGAGAAAATTTTCCTTTGGACGCGTACTCCAAGAATCAACAGGAAAAGAAAAGTAATAGGAACAGAGGGAGGAAAACATTTCAGGACTTATTTTTATTTTTTATTTATGTGTATGCTTGCCAAGACCAGAAGACAAGTCAGATCCCCCGGAACTAGTTACGGATGGTGGTGATCCACTTGATGTGGGCGCTGGGAACCAAGTTCATGTCCTCTGGACGAGCAGGAAGCACTCTTAATCCCTGAGCCATCTCTCTAGTCCCAAGGAAAACATTTCAAATAAGAGAAAAGTGAGGGATGAAGGACTGTGGGGTGTGGTTCAATGGTAGAGTATGTGTGTAGTGTGTAGGAAATCCTGGGTTCAATTCCCAGAAGTCAAGAGAGTGTGAGAGGGAGTCATAAATAAGGAGAGGTTAAGAGTGTTTAAGTGTGATGATATCTTTTTCTACAGATCCATGAGAGCAGCCCAGTGGGAACCATGTCTTAAAGAGATCAGTAAAGGTATGAAGCAGACACAGGAAGGGAAGGGCAGGAAAGGCAAGATGCAAGTTGGTATCTATAGGTGCCCAGGACTGATCTGAGGGGGGGGGGGCTGCATTTAGGAGCTCAGGTAAAGGAGAAATGCCTGGGTTAATTCTGGTCCAAGCCTGTGCGGCATGGGAGGCTGAAAGCATTGGCACGATCTTGAGTTTTAAGCTTTTAAAAGGGGACTTCTCCAAGCGACAGTGGGGTGTGGAAGGAAAGGGTCCCCTCAAGTGCAGTGTGAGGGGACTCCAGTCGCTCCTCCGAGTACTGATCCTTCATAAACTGTGAAACTGATGAGGGAATGAACAGGTTCTAATTATGCCTTGTGTTTGGAATAGAGCTGCCGGGGAGCCAGTGTTGAGTGGGTGTCCACGTGGATGCTGACGTGGTGCAGCCTTGATGTCTGTGCATCAGAGATTTAAGGCTGTGAAGGGAGTGCCACAACCAGATGCCGTGGATTTGAGAGGAGTCATTTCGGAAGCGATCAAGAAAAACAGTCTGAAGTCATCAGTGTGGAAAGCGGATGGTAACAAGTTCCTCTATTTTAAGAGCCTGGTGGGAGTGGGGGGTGGGCAGGATTAGCATAGTAAGCTGCCTTCATTGGAGGGGGCTCCACTGAAGGAAATGAGATGCAGGAGAATTATGTTACTTGATCAAATTCTCACAGTGAAAAGCAAGAGCAGAATCAGAACTCAGGAGCCCTGAGAGTGAGTCCACGGTCCTGAACAGCAGAACTTACCAAGCAACTGTCTGATCTGCTACTGTTTCAATCACAGTGTAGAGGGCAAACACAATCCAGTACATCATCCAGCGAACCTGGAAATAATATAAACACGCATGAAACAGTTCACTAAAATTACTGCCGGACATGGGGGTTCACACCTGGAATCCCAGCATTTGGGAGCCTAAGGCAGAAGGATTCACCACAAGTTTGAGTCCAGTTTGGGTTAGACAGACCAGGTTTCAAAAAAAAAAAAATCATTTGTATTTCTGAATAATTTTATTTAAATATTTCTGTCTCTCTAGATATATACTGGGTCAAATGTAGAAAATGATGGTTCAGTTTAACACGTTTCATATATGAGCTCCTTACATCTCTATACCAAGTATCTTGGGATATGAGTCAACAAACAACAACTCTGAGGCCCAACACAATAACTTTGGAATCTAAATCAAAGAACAAGCAATGTTTTTCTTTTCTGACTAAGACTATTAGGCAGTTAGGACATGCATAAATAAAATAGTGTACTAGGACAGGTGACGTCTAATTACACTAGTCTGTATGCATTCTTTCTTTTTTAAAAAATATTTTATTATTATTTTTATGTGTATGAGTGTATTGTCTGCATGTAGGTAAGTGCACCCACGTCGTGCAATGCCCGCGGAGGATGGAAGAGGCTGTCGGATCCCCTGGAACTGGAGTTATGGACAGTTGTTAGCTGCCACGTGGGTGCTGGGATTCAAACCTGGGTCTTCTGCAAGGACAGTGTTCTTAACTGCTGAGCTATGTCTCTAGCCCCCGAATTCTTTATTTCTTCACATACTGGAACTGTCCGGAGACCAAGGCAGAAGCACAGGCTGTTCCTTCTATTCATGATATACACAATACCCAGCCCCTCAGTTTGAGAGCTGAAGGTTGGTGATCTCTTCCTCTTGTTCCATTCCAATGCCACAGCAGTATTCTGCGACAGTTTTACCTTTTGCCTACAGAACTAGGGCACCTTAACTAGTCCCCCACTCTCTGCTATATTATCCTTTTCATAGACTGACACCCGATGAATTATTCTTAAACTTGTTCCTTTAAGTTTGCTCCTTTCTTCTATGTCACCAGAGACAGCTCCTCTCAAGTACATTCCTTTTGTTTTTGTTTTTCTGCTCAACATAAGCATAACCCCACTCCAACCACTGCCTAGTACGTGATATATCAATAATCTTTAATCCAGAGAACACTATGAGGCTGGAAACACAATCACTCCCACCACTCACTATAGGTAAGAGGACTTTCTCAAGGTCATCTTACTGGAGTGTGGATCCAGCCTGCCTGATTCTGGAATGGGTTAACCAACTGCATCACATATAGAGGAAAAACCATGTAGGCCCAAGAACAACTGCTACTTTTTGCCTTATTTCATCCCCATCTGTGTCCCTATCAGGCTACTGTTAAAAAAAAGTTTTAAAGTTAGCATACAAAGCAGCAGGTCGTATGGCACTTTCACACGTGTCATTACGCTCTGTTCTCATTTGTCCCCACTATTTGGTTTTAAGGCAGGTGCTTGGGGGCTGCAGCCATGGTTCAGCAGTCGTCCTCTGCTCTTCCAGAGGACCCAAGTTTGCTTTCCAGTGCCCATGATGTAAGAGGGCTCACGACTGTCTGTAACTCTAGCTACTCTGGTCTCTGGGAATTCCCACACATGTGGCATAGATACAGACACACATACAAACATTAAAAAAAAAGTTGCTTTTAGCCTGGCATGTTTGTGTATGCCTTTAATCTCAGCCCTCGGGAGGCAGAGGCAGGAGGAGCTGTTTGGATATTCCACAGACAAGACAGTAAAACTGTAATTCAGGGCTGGGAATGTATCTCAGTGGTAGAGTACTTGCCTAGCATGCATAACGTCCTGCACACAGTGCTACAAACAAACAAACACAACATAAGACAATGCCCCCATAACTCAACAAATTTCCAGTTTTCTATTTACACGGACAAATTAAGAGTAGCTATAAATAACTTTTTTTATATACACTTGTTTATTTTGTGTGTATATATGGGGTGCATGTGTGTCACGGCACACCTGTGGAGGTCAGAGGGACAACCTGTGGAAGTCGGCTCTCTCCTTCACCATGTGGGTCCCAGGGATTGAACCCAGGTTGCAAACCTTGGCAGTAAGCACTACTATCTGCTGAGCCACTTGCTGGCCCCATAAATCATTTCTGAAGGAACTGCACAGTGAAATCCCTACATCATTAATTTGTTCTTATTTATGAAGACTCTTGAAAGCTTAAAAGTTGTCCAAAGCAAGTAATAGGGTACAATATCCACCTTAACTATGAGGAAATTGATTTATAAGATTATCACAAAATTTTTTATAATTAAAAAAATTATGTGTATGATTGTTTTGTCTGCATGTATGTAAGTGCATCATGTGTGTGCAATGCTGGCAGAGTCCAGAAGAGGGTATTGGATTCCCTGGAACTGGAGTTACAGACAGTTGTGAACCACCATGTGGGTGCTGGAAACCAAACCTGAGTCCTCTGCAAGGGCAGCCAGTGCTCTTAACTGCCGAGCCATCTCTCCAGCCCCAAATTTATCTTATTTTATTAAACTGTTTACTTAAGTGTGCAGCTATGTGTGTTGCCACACAAATGGAGGCCAGAAGAGGTGCTGGATCTTTAAGGGCTGGAGTTAAGGACATATATGAGATATTTTGCTTACTACATGGAATATAGGATCTGAACTCCAGTTCTCATGATTGTTCAGAAAGGGCTCTTAAGTCCTGAGCTATCTCTCCAGTCCTAACAAAACAAAACAAAACAAAAGTTGGGCACCATTAATCCCAGAACTTGGGAGATAGAGGCAGATAGATCTCTGAGAGTTTGAGGCCACCCTGGTCTACAAGATGAGTTCCAGGTCAGCCAGGGCTACATGGTGAGACACTGTCTCTCACATACACACCCCAACTTTTTTTCTCTCCCTCTCTTTTCTTAAAAAAAAAATATTGGTGAGGGAAGAGGGGTTGGGTTTGGTTCCCAGCACCACATGGTGGCTAACATTTGTCTGTGACTCCAATTCCAGGGGATCCCATGTCTTCTTCTGAGGTCCATGGACATTGCACAACACAGGTGTACTTACATACATGCAGGCAATAGACTCATACACATAAAATAAATAATATAATATTTTAAAAATTAAAAAAAAACTTCATGACTTCCTTTAAATTCCTCATTGCCACTAGTTCTAAGATTTTGTCTGAGTATGGGGTTGGGACCAACCCTGTGTGTGCCTCTGCTAGCCTGCCTTCCCTTCCAACTGGGCTCTACCTTTTTTATAGAGAGAAGTGATATCGAGTCCATGCACTCTGCCCTTCCAAATCCAAACAGTAATGAAGGAAAAAATACTGCAAACCAACTAATGTGCTTGTCTAGAGTAAGCAGGGAAACAGGGACCTTGGAAGAGATCTTTTTTTTTGTCTTTTAAGGCAGGGTCTCCCTGTAGTCACAGCGGGCCTGGATTCACCAGGCTGGCCTTGAACTCACAGATACCTACCTGCCTTTGCCTCCCAAGTGTTGGGATCAAAGACATGCACCACTACACCCTGCTAAAAGGTCAAAAATTTAAAAGCTAACCAACCTTTAAAACAACAACAATTGAACGAACATTACAAGAGAAACTGTTCTGGGTACACATTATGTTCAATCTACCTTGGGGTCTCAACTCCAAGAAACCCAACTGCACCGTGGGTAGAGTTAGAGAACAACTGACATCATGACTTCTTTCATCTCTCAAAGCCAGAATAAGTAAAGTTGCTCTGGGTCACTGAGCCAGGAAGCAATGAAGGAGGCACAGCCACCTTGAAAGCCGAAGGAGGGATCTTTTCAAACACATAGCTCCCATGAGGCTGGAGAGGTGGCTCAGTGGTTAAGAGCGCTGGCTGCTCTCGCAGAGGACCCAGGTTCGACTCCCGGCATCCACATGGCAGCTAAAAACTGTAACTTCAGTTGCAGGTCTGACGCCCTCTTCTGACCTCTGTAGGCACTGCACAACATGGATGCACTTATACACATGCAGGCAGTGCACTAAACACATTGAAAAACAAAAACAAAAAACATGAAAATAAACAGGTAGCTGCCAGCAGGCCACAGCATGGTTGCCTAGGAATTACTGATACTCTCCCTCACCCACTCTGCCCTTCCAAATCCAACAGTAATGAAGGAAAAAATACTGCAAACCAAATAATGTGCTTGTCTAGAGTAAGCAGGGAAACAGGGACCTTGGAAGAGATCTTTTTTTTTGTCTTTTAAGGCAGGGTCTCCCTGTAGTCACAGCGGGCCTGGATTCACCAGGCTGGCCTTGAACTCACAGATACCTACCTGCCTTTGCCTCCCAAGTGTTGGGATCAAAGACATGCACCACTACACCCTGCTAAAAGGTCAAAAATTTAAAAGCTAACCAACCTTTAAAACAACAACAATTGAACGAACATTACAAGAGAAACTGTTCTGGGTACACATTATGTTCAATCTACCTTGGGGTCTCAACTCCAAGAAACCCAACTGCACCGTGGGTAGAGTTAGAGAACAACTGACATCATGACTTCTTTCATCTCTCAAAGCCAGAATAAGTAAAGTTGCTCTGGGTCACTGAGCCAGGAAGCAATGAAGGAGGCACAGCCACCTTGAAAGCCGAAGGAGGGATCTTTTCAAACACATAGCTCCCATGAGGCTGGAGAGGTGGCTCAGTGGTTAAGAGCGCTGGCTGCTCTCGCAGAGGACCCGGGTTCGACTCCCGGCATCCACATGGCAGCTAAAAACTGTAACTTCAGTTGCAGGTCTGACGCCCTCTTCTGACCTCTGTAGGCACTGCACAACATGGATGCACTTATACACATGCAGGCAGTGCACTAAACACATTGAAAAACAAAAACAAAAAACATGAAAATAAACAGGTAGCTGCCAGCAGGCCACAGCATGGTTGCCTAGGAATTACTGATACTCTCCCTCACCCATACTCAGCCCAGGGATTTCAGCATAAATATTGTTACTTTCTTTCAAGGAAAAGTAGTGTTGTAAATTAAAATTGGCTCTTCTCATAGACGGTT